CTTGAAAGGGGGAGTAATTATCTAAAGGCAGTCCATCCTTGTTTAAAAAAATGTTTTATCATTTTGAAATTCATTTAAACGTGTTTTAGAATGAATGAGAAGTAAAAGGGAAAGGGAAAATAATGAATAGATAGTTTATGCATGGATAGATATATAGTTTGTCTCTGTCTACTGGCTGCCCCGTGTACTACAGGCAGTCGAAAAAGAACAGGCTAATGCCGCTGTCCTGGCAGAAATTTCCCTCATCGCATGGCGTTGTCCGTCTTCATTAGCTCACATGGTGCAGAAAAGTAGGACGTAAAACTCCATTAATTTCATTTAACTTTTTTGTCTACTGGCTGGCCCTGGGCAAAACTTCAAACTACCTGGCATACAGTTTTCACAAGTCATCCGTATTTATTTATATTTGCTTAAAAAAGTGACTTATTCTCACGGTCACTGGATCGGCACGAGGACTCAGATTAAAAGTCGTTTATTCATCAATAACGTTCTTTTCTAGTTCATTGCAATTATACCTTCAATCTTTGCATTAAACTTTGCATAACGTGCATTTACAGACCCATTTTTAAAGAAATTAAAAGAACTTAATAATTGGGATTAAAATTAGCTACAATTTTATGGATCAGTGAAGACCTGATAAAAACATATAAACTTAATTTGGAAATAAGAAGTGTGAACCAATATATCATTAAACTATTATTTTATTAGGAGCTGCCTTAAATGTTACTGTCACCTGTCACATTTTATCAGTATTGGAGAATCAGCGACGTGTAAGGGAGTATTGATTCAAAAGTGAATTTGCTTTGTGTAGTCGAAAAACAGCATCATCAAGTAAAATTCAGAGATTGCATGGAAGAAAAATTAAAATTTTGGAAAGCTCAAAACAAGCTCGTTGATCAGTAAGGTAATTTATATTTGAAAACTATTATTACATATTGACAATAATACTTTATTCACGGAATGACGTTGCTGAAAATTGGTGTAGAACTAAGGGATTGTAAAGAGGTTTTCTAGTTGTATCGGGGATACTATAGTATAGATTTGCATCATCATCGTCAGACGTCGGTGGGTTTTGAAATACCAATGCAGTTAACCACGGACATCTAGATGATGCAAAAAGAAGACATTAATGGTCTCGATACACATAAAGTCCAGAAAAGCTCTACACAACCTCCTTCAGTCAGGATTCGGAATTTTAAAAGTGATGTCTAACCCACTTTAGGGATCATGGAGGCAAGTATTTCAAATATTACAGATTGACAACTTTGTCAACATAGAGTTTGCAGAGTGTGGTTTTTTGATGTCACTTTTTCGTCAGAGTACGTGATGGGTCAACAAGTCAATGGAAAATATCGTTTAAAATAATTGAAGGACCTCCAAATTTGCTGTCGCTACATGGCAGGCAACTTTGTATTGCTGGGCTCTGCTCAACCAGAGTTTAATGCAATTGGTTCAAGAGTCAAAAGATGATAGTATTTTCCTTAACACCCACGCCGCTTACACTACCTAGCGACCACAGAGAGCTCAGAATGTATTTTTTTAATGTAATTTCACAAATATTAACAATGAAATATCCATAGAAGTATAAGGGTTGGAATTTTACGTCTAAAACAAACACACTTAACTCAAAGAAATCACTCACAGTTCGGACTGAAAATTCCCCTCTGTAACATTTTTAAGTCCAATAACATTTTTTTTCGTGGAATGGTATTTTCATCAAGACAAATACACAGGCCCGTAGTTCCAAAAGACAAATTTCATTACTTCAACTAAACACCATACCCACTGCCCCTCCGAATATAGTTACGTGTTCCCCCGAAAATCCTAGACACACAGCTGTTACTGCCAGAAATTGCAACCTAATCTAGATTGTAAATGTTTAGATTTTCTATGCCCTTACTCATTTGTTAAGTTTGGTCTGTCTTCATTAGCCCACATGGTGCAGAAAAGTAGGACGTAAAACTCCATTTCATTTCATTTTGTTTGGTAGTTCCACTTTCATACTAGAAAATAGTTTGAGAAAATGTTAATATTAATAACATTACGCATAGTCCACGAGAAAAATGTCAAAATTAGTTATCAGCAGTAATCTAAATAACAGTACGTAGGGGGTCTGCCATCTGTATAGGTATATACAAATTTGCTCTCAATTCGCAATGTTAAAGTGATAACCCGACGTCTTGCTTATCTGATGCCTTGGAAACAAAGTACTAATATAAAACAAAAATATACGCTCTCTCTTCTCTCATGTACAAGTCCATGTTCACTGGTAATAATTTAACTCGAGTGAGATATTATAGGAAAAGTAGACGTCGGATTTTTCATTCTAAAAAGTGATGTGGATTTATCGAGCTTTATCGGCTGGCAAAGCGATTATTTTCCATTTTGACGATTACTCCTGCGATTCTTTTGCAATAATTTAGGAATAAAATTATAATTTACAAGTGAACAGTATTTAGTATCATTATTAATATTCCAAGGTCAGTAAAAAAAAAAAAGTTCTTTTTATATGGTATTTTATCTATAGTATTAAAACAACTTGATTCATGTTGTTACTCAGGTTTGCGCATCGGAGTAACAGCATGATTCAAGTTCTGTTTTAATATATTCCATATCGCTCTACAATTGTATATTGAACACTTTTTAACAGTGAAAATAGTTTATTATTGTATTTATCATTTAGATTTAAAGGGGTTGAAAAGAGGTTGTATAACTGTTTTATGTATATCGGGGAAAATTATGGCTTCTAGTTGCTATATACCTATATATACGACTGTCACAAACGCTGCTAATATAATATGTCTTTTAAGTGTCTTTAACTACGTTTATAGTCTGCGATATCAGCATCATTTGCAAACAGAAGTTAATTTGTCATCATCCAACCAACCAATCTTAAAAA